TTTAAACATGTATACAATGTATATAATTTTTCGAATTTCGTAACGTAAAATATTTCTTATTTACTCATGGAGTGGTAATATTATCCGGTGACTTACCCGATCATGATATTCATGCGTTTTGGTTTTCGTAAAACATGATTGAATACATGGGATACCATGGACTCGTTTTACAATTGATATGCATGTAGATTTTTATTTATTTAAAAAAAAAAAAAAAAAAAAAAAAATGAAAATAATAAATAAGAACATTTCTTTGACGTTTCCGTTCGGAAAAAGAACACGTCTCGTGCATTTTTAACGATTACGTGACCGAATGAATAAAAATGCTCATTCATTCGTTCACGCGTGTCGTCGAACTCTATTGAAGAATATAATAACAACAAAAACGGTTTTATGTCAGCATATAGTTTTCGCTACCAGATCCTGAGGTATCCGCGTATTGATGATCGAAAGCAAAACCGCGTCGTTTATTATGGTACTCAGGAGTATTGCCGGTAAACATCGCGTGACGGACATTCACCGCGTACACTATTATTATTATTATTATTATTATTATTATAACTATTAGAACTGTGAATTCTATGTCATCAAAAACATAGTATTGGAAAAGTTAGAAAATGCTCTAAAGATTGCAATAAATACGTTTCATCGATGAACTAGAATTGAACATTTTTTTAAAACTATAAAACTAGCAATAAATCGTTGAATTAAAAAATCTAAATTTTAAATGATTTTGTAGTTAATATCTACAAGAAACATTAATAATATACTCTTAAAATAGAACCATTAAAAATAAATGAATCGTAATATAAAAAATAACTGTTTTACAGTCAAAATAAAATATTTTTAAATTAAAAAAAAAATATATTACAAAATGCACTCAAATGCAAACTTAAAGTTTCAAATATTAACAGTATATATTATTATAGTATAATATTTGATTTCTATTTTTCATAGGAAAAGTCTCATTAAAAAAAATAAAAAGAATGCAATTGAAAAAAAAAAATAATAAAACCAATTCAAAGGTATATATTATAATTATTAATATTTAACAAATTCGCTTGAGCAGTTTTTGCTTACTACCTATATACATAAACATGTAATACGCGTCTCGGTGAAAAATATAATAAACACATATACCTATATACGTAGCACCTATATAATACGTATATACCTACCAGTTCTCTGGGGCAAATTGAAAAAGAAAACTTGTATCCCACGAGTGAGAAAGGGAGAGGGAGCTTGTAGACTGTAAACTGTTAAACGATTGCTGGAATATTACAATATATACCTTACGACGTATACTACTGCGATCACTGGACTTGTAATATAGGTAGATACCATATATATTTATAAAAGTATACGTGTATGTGTGTGTGTAAATCACGAGACTCTCTTCGTCTTTATATACAACTAGGTAATACGACGATGTCGTACACATCCATAAATAATAATGTACACATACACATACCGACCGGTGACCGGAGTTATCGAATATGGTTATAACGACCCGTTCTCGTACATACGCGGCACATACATATAAGAGGTAGACACACACACACACACACACACACACACACACACACATATACACATTTGTCTGACGAACTTGGCAAGTTCATGTCTGTGAATACGTAATTAGTACATGTGTACTTCATATCACTGTTATTATTATATGCTACAACGCACTGCAGTTGGCTGCCGATCATGACATATCGATCGTTTATAATACATATCCTTCGGTTGGTTTTTTTTTCTTTCATACCTTTAGAAAAATGCGCAAACGATGTATTTCTTATAATAAACTTGATGACCCGTCGTAATTCGCATGCGGTCGGATGGATTTCGATTTCGAAAATATGTAATTGTATATGGAGGATTGCATCGGTGCAAAAATAATATAATTCATTTATGATTTTATTTCAGTCGAAGTAAAAAAACCGATAACGATAACGAAATGTCTGCCAGTGTGTGTTTGTGTGTAACTTATATATGTTAATTGCAGGCCCGTTCGAAATTCGCGGGTTATTCGTATGGTTTTATAGCGGTCTTGAATAATTTGCGTATAATCTGTACGCTCATCTTATCGGGGCGGGTCGCGTTTGGAACGAGTATATCTATATAACTTAATATATATAACTTATAACTATAAATCCCATGCGGGGGTCTGTATTAATGGCGCCAAGTATTCATCGACACATTATCCAAACGGTACCGTATGGAACCACAAATCAACTCGTAGATCCGATCGCATGGCAGTATTCGTAAAATGCAGTAACCAGAATATTTATAAATATGTATAAGATACATTATTATATACGCTACCGAACGACAGTTCGCCTGGAATTCGTCGCTCTCTTTTTTTTTTTTATAATAAAATATACAATAAAAAACAGTATACTTGTAGATATCACGATGTGCACGAATCGTGTATTTAATAATAATTATAATTTATAATGATTAAAAATTGAACGTACCTATACCAGTAATTGAAAAAACCGTATTATAATTTTTTTTTCGTCGATACCTACTTATTATTAAATCGATTCGGTTTCATTTGATAGGTTCATTCGCATCCGATTTAGGCACGATTCTTCTCGGTCCGGTTTCGTATTGAAAAAAATATTGTATTTTATGTATTATGTTTGTTTATTGAACCCCGCCGTTTCGATTTTATAAGTTTTCGATTCCGATTTATAGATTTGGATAAATATTGGTCAGTATGGATTATTTACGCATGATAAACATGTCTGGGGTAAATGTTTACTCGTGGGTGTTAATAGGTCTTCAAAGAACTATATAATAAAGACCGAATTTCCGTTCTCAAAGATAGTTATTTTCTTACTAATGGCGTACCATTCTATGAAAAAACCCTCGTTTATATTACATTAACTACGTGTAATTATATAAATTTATATTTTATTCCAATCAAATACATTAATGGTTTTGATCGAAAAATAATTTATCGCTTCCATATACGTAAATGGGATGAGTTAATAAGAATGTAGAATTACCGTATTAATTCCCTCTTCTTCATCATCTTTATTTGAAGTTTGCCACTCCGACCCTTCATCTATCGGACATGTTTCGATCACTCGATTTTTCGTGAACAAATAGACAACGATTTAAAAATACATGTACAGGTATTTTTTATTTATTTTTTTACATTTCACTATGAAAAGTCATTTAAACACACATAATAGGTGTTTACTTCTTAGATTTATATGATATTTGATTAACTTCTAGGATCCCCGGTAGGAGACGCAAACAATTTAGCACGTCCTTAAACAGTAGAAACACATTTTAAATGTAATTATATTTTCTTAGGTCACAATAATTTCCCAGTGTGTTTGAAATACCGAAATCAATCTTTAACAATCACAAAGCACGGTGTAATATTTTTTTGTTTGTGTATATAATACCTATGTGATAATTTTTCGATGAATAAATTCCAATAAACATATTATACGTGCGCGTTGTCGGCTATATTATGACGATACTACAACGTACACGCGGTTCGCAATGCAAACTTCGCATACGTACTTGTACTCGTATGAACTTTATGTATATACGATTGTTGGGTACCATTAAGTTTTAAAAGATGTTGGAATTTTGTGCGTCTGATGTTTTATAGCAGTGGACCATTTATTCACCCTTATTAAACAATTAACAGTTCTTGTTTGTTTATTGGTATACTCGTATGCACACCAATTATCTGTACAAGTACACTAAGCTGGTGTAACTTCCTACTCGGAACACCTATTGATATGTAACTTATAGCTTATAGGATAAATAAATAAATAAATGTTTTTTGTTTTAATGTTGTATTTTTTTGTCGATTGCTTCGAGAATAACCCAATAGTAAAAATCGATGAAATCGATAAAATTCGAAGGAAACTTAATGGAATGATTTAATTTTAAAATTCAACTTGTGAGAACTGCTCATCGGTAACGTTGATAATTATTGTAGAATAGAGATTGATAAGCGGGAATACAACTCATCTTTATTTTTGAATTAAATATTAAACGAAAACGTATCATAACGGTCTTTAGTTTTTGGTATATATCGGCTTTTAGGTTCCCCGCATTCAGTACAAAATATAACTACGTCCCGTTTCGTACCGCACCGATTAACCGTTGTCTTAAGGTGAGTTTACACGCTCAGTTAAACTGCTCAAACAGACTAGACGAACTCAAGTTTGCGCAAATTAACTTTGCGTGTAAATGGAAATCGTATGTCTGCGCAGTTCAAAATGTTGACTGTACGAGTTCAGGCGATGCTTGAAAAAAACTGTGCAGTTATAGTAGTTGCACAGTTTTTTCGTGTGTGTAAACAGATAACTGTGGGTTTTTAGACGGTTTTAAAATGTATTAAATTAAAATCAAAATATGATGTGATATAGTGCATACCTACTGCATACTGCAGCATGTAGGGACATGTAAAGATACGTAGATTCAAAATTTGGAGCAGTAATGGTGCTTGTAAAATTTAATACAAGAATTCTCATAAGTTATAGGTATTTATCGCCATTAAAAAAAAATTAAAAATCGTAGGTCACAATTACAATTTATTTGCGAAAACGGTTGTCTTTTTAAAAACCAATTTTTTGATCACTTCTCTTTATTTAATTTTTGAAGAATTAATGGTTTTTTTTTTTTTTTTTATCACACACACTGCGAGAAGGAAGAGATCCTGTTAGGTAATGGACGATATTTTTGCTGCATTGTCAAATTAGAACCGACAAAAATTTATGTCAATAACTGAAACCTCTAATCCCTAATAATTAACTCAGTTTATTTGCACAAACAGACTGCACAAGAATACCTCAAATTGGTTTGTGCAGTTTAACTGAACGTGTAAACTTACCTATAAGTTTACAACAACGAACACATCTGTTTAAACTTTATAATTATTTTTCTATTAATTTTCAACCGCTAAATCAAAAAAAAAAAAAAAAAGGTGGTTTTTGTAATAATACAATGAACGTGATTTTTCGCAGAATGTTGTTGATGACTGTGGCGGTAACCGTGCTCGCGGTGCTACAACACGCTGGTGGCCAGCAGCAGCAGCAGGAACTGGAGCAGCGCGGGCCGACGACGATCGCGGGCGACGAATGGAAGTGCCCGGAGTTGCGGAACGTGTCGTGCACGTGCGATCTGCCGCACACGTTGCGGTGCACAGGCGGCAAGTCGACGTTCCAGACGGTGGCCCGGGCGCTAAGGCACCTGTCCGGCACGTCGTCCATATCGCTGTTGGACTGCACCGTGCAGAACGTGGCCTCGCTGCCGGCCAGGCTGCTCGACGGCGTCTCGCTGCACGGGCTGGTCGTGTCGTCCGGCGAGATCAGGTCCGTGTCGGACGGCGCGTTCGACGGGCTCGCCTCGCCGCTCCAGGCGCTCGGACTGCCCAACAACCAGCTCGAACGGGTGCCCAGCTCCGCGCTGGCCACGCTCAATGGTCTCGAACGGCTGGACCTGTCGCACAACCGTCTGCACACCGTCCACAACAATTCGTTCAAAGTAATAATCACGTACTGGTGTTTAATAACCGATGCGGCCACAATCTTTTTGGTCGCGCTGCATTCCCGCAGTCTTGGTCCGTTTTTCAACTATCTCGGCCACTAAATCTGAAGGCTTATCGATCCCGCCGGGGTAACCAGTTTCGAAAAAAAAAACTGCCGGTATCTCAAATTAGTGTCGATAAAAACTGTTTTTTTTTAAAAAAAAAAATTTTTTGATCATCTCGCGACGTCTTAGGTTTCATACAAACCGAACCACATTCATCAGGGTTGCGTGTGTTAAATTTTTCTCGCCTACTATATATTTTTGCACAGAACCCGGTACTTATTTCTAAGTGTATATTTAAGTGCAATACATGAATTATTTTAATGCTATTACTTCCGACCCCTGGTTACGACATTAGGTGCACAGCTAGTGTTTCTATATTAAGATGATAAGCGAAGCGGGCAGGTGTAACGAGCGGTTCCCTTCACTCATTCTGTACACATCTCTTATGACCGCCTAAATACCCGCATGGAAATTGAATGACCGCAAATGGTATCAAAAAGGTCATGACCGCATCGGAATTGTAATAGTCTAAAGTTAAGAATAAAACTCACATTATCGTACCCAAGTAGATCTTGCATGATATATGCACAGTACGTTTTGCATACATTATTTACAAGATAATACTGCGAGCTCTTTCATATTGAATTTACACTTTGTAACTTATATTGTATATATTTACGTATTGTTGTCTGTCGCAGGGATCACCAAACTTAACGTTTTTGGACTTGAGCAACAATTCCATTCATTTCATCAGCCCGGATGCGTTTGTCAACTTGCCGTTTTTGAAAGTGCTGCGCCTTCAAAACAACCTTTTGACGTCAGCATCCACTTCTCATCTGCAGGGATTGCGGTCGTTGGTAGAGTTAGATCTCAGTTCCAACCTGTTGACGGGCCAACTGGGCCCCAGCACGTTACCTAGGTTACCGAACCTGCAGATCATATCGCTGGCGCACAATCAACTCAACAGTGTCCGGCGAGGATCGTTTGCCGGCCTCGAGGCCGTCGTGTCCCTAACACTTAACCACAACCAAATCGATGTGCTGGAAGACCATGGCTTCAGAGCGGTGCCTACGTTGTCACACTTGGACTTGGCTAATAATCGTATCGTGGCCGTGTCTAGCGCTTCGCTGGCCCATCTGACCAAACTTAAAACACTCGATTTGTCGCACAACTTTTTGAGGAGTTTGACATCTGATCTTATTGTACCGTTAAAGAGTATCCAAGAACTGAAACTCGACGATAATGACATATCGATTGTGGCCGAAGGTGCTCTGAACACCGCCAATCATATAACGAGTCTTTCTTTATCAGGTGAATTGAATAATTAGTAAGATATATTGTACAACTTATAGTATTTTCGTTGACCACACATGTGTAATACTTTAAAACGGAAGAACAATGCAGTCGAATGTAACTACCTAATCAATCTACTGTTATATTCATGATCAGCATCATGATATCATTAATATTTTTACCGTGACGTTAAAAATGTCCGACATGTTTTCAGATAACCCGTTGAATTGTGACTGCAGTCTTTTGTACTTTGCCACGTGGGTGTCGAATCACAGCGCGATCCGCACGGCTAGCGAGACGGCCGTGTGTGCAACGCCACCGTCCCTCGAGAACGGTCTGCTCCAGGATTTGCCAGTTTCCAAATTGATATGCGGTGGCGAGGATAACGTGCCACCGCCAGAAGGTCCTCTAGCTTCGTTGCAATCGTACTCCAATACCAAGGTGTCATTGCGCTCCTATCAGTTCGACGGCAGCCGTATCAGCCTCGGCTGGTCGATCGTAGCTCCGGTCGTTTCCTATTACTGCAACGCTCTGGTCATCTACGAAGACATCGGCAACCATGAGGTGTTGTTGGACTCGAAGCCAGTCAGGTGTAATTCGTCGCAGTTACCAGACGCCAAGAGCCTAACGCTGTCGCTGTCGGCGAGTGAATTGCAACCGACACACAGTTACAGGTCAGCATTCTCACAACGATACATAATTAATTCAGTTAATATACGATAGACACGGTATAATGGATCCCGGTCGGTTGGTTTTATCACCTATAATCCGTTGATGTGGATCTCGTTCGGTATTCAAACCGTCGTCGGGTATCAGCATTTCAAATGTAATAGATCATGTGTGTAATTCAATATCAACATGTAACATACCATGAACCGATACATTATAAATTTATAGCAGTAAAATATACGTTAAAGCACTGTAGATCATATAGAAATAAAATTAAAACAGGGATAATTTAGTAGTTTCTAATAGGACTCCCGTACACTTTTCTATATTTCGAATACGTAAGATTAATTTATAATAATTGTATGTATAAATAGGAATTAACAATAGTTGGCCCTAAATTTATAAAATTGTAATCAAGAAAATAAGACCAAACGCGTTCCAATAAAAGTTTTTCGGGACAATCGGTGGCAATGTTGAAGAACGGAACGTAGGGTAACCGTAGTCTTAATATATTAACAAAACATATTGTGCACGTGTTTATCAATCTGGATTTCTTATAATTCTATGGGAACGGTTAAAAACGTGCCTATGACATCGACGGGCAGAGGGTACAGTAACACTGAAATAGGTATGTTATGACTCAATACGTACATTTTTCTGTTTTTGCATAAAAGTTGCGTGCCAGATATTTTTTAGGTGCACGTAGATCTTGTCCAGAAAATGTTTACATTAAAATGTACGGTACAAGTGCACTATTTTGCTTGTCGGACCGCTCAGACTTAGGAGTAGTTAGGGCTGTCAATGTTTGCAGCCCGACCGCGCGCACGCTGTAACGCATAGTAACGTTTCGGATGATGTCGACAGGTACTGTGTGGTGCTGATCGAGGGCTACGCAACCGACAAGTCGGACGAGTCGGCCATGGTGCTGGGCTGCAGCGACATCATCGCGCTGGTGCCGACGACCGCAAACCAAGCGGCACCCAATGGCCGGGCAGCAACAGCAGCTGCAGCCGCAGCGGCGGCTGCGGCGGCGGCCACAGAGCCACCAGACATCCGGAACCTGACCACCACACTGATGTCGGGGTCGTCGCTGTTCGTGGCCGTACACCTGTCGTCCGTGCGGCCGGATGCGGGCAAGTGCACGATAACGGTGTCGGTGTACACGATGGGCAGGCCGGTCGCGCATCACCGGCTCAACTGCACTGCGCCCTGGACCACGGTGACCGACCTGCCGGCCGAGCGGTCATACCAAGTGTGCGCCAGCATCGGGTCCAAGTTCCCCAAGGACGATGAGGCGACCATGGTATGCACTTCCGTGGACGGGGACGTTGGTGGTGGCGGCACCGGTGTCGGCGTCGGCAGCCCGGTCGACTGGTTCTTCGTGCTGGGTGCCAAGAGCTACGCGTTCCTCCTGTCCGCCATGTTCACAGCGCTGGTATTTATGTTCGCGCTGCTCGCGTACCGGACCGCGTGCTCGGCGTGCAAGAAACCCGTCGGTCGCCGCGGCGCCAATGCCGTCCAAACCACGCACCAGTGCTTCTTGCCCGTTCCGCCGCCCGAGAACGGAACGCAGCGGCCCAGGTACGTGAAGCTGCAAGCAACCACCGTGCTGTAGGCGCATGCGCGGCATCGTACGGTCTTATCGCACCCGTGGACGGCGCGCGAGCTTCTGCCAAAATTGAACGTTTGAAAAATAAAAACCTTCGAACTGTGTGTACCATGGTGGTACAGGTCATCCGGTTCGTCCCGAGGCGAATCGGTTATTACTGAGAGATCAACAAACGATTTGAATCGTAACGGGGATCGTCTCGGTTTACTTGTCCCGCGGACGGTTTATAATATTATTGTAATAAAATGATCTGTTCAATGTGCCATATTGATTGTTAAAAGTTAAACCTTTCGGCGATATCAACGCGTTTTCCTGTTGCGCACCGTGCGTTGACGGTTGGATTAAGCGTTCGACAAACGAATAGGAACGTGCACGAATTATTTCACGTTTATCGTGTTCGGTCCGAGGTGTTAACATTATTATTATAAGTAGAAATTTTGATGTAATAATTTAAATTAAAAAAAAAAAAATTGTAATCGAACGCATTGTAAATTTGTTCATTATTTAATTGTTGGCTAGATTAACCTTTGCATTAACGTCTCGGACTTGGTTCAATTACTTCACGATATTACATAAGACTGATACATAATGTAACATGATTTAACAATATTTTACTAACACGATATTGAGATTTTGAAATGTATTTAAATAGGCGTATAGTATTATTGTATAGATTATTGTATCTATATTATATTTTGTTAAGATTCCATCTGAATTTAATTATATGCCTTCTTTTTCTTTAAAAAATTCATATTTTACGTTATACTTAACGTAAAAAAGTAAAAGTTAAGTAGTATTAATGTTTGTTTATTTAAAATATTATGTTGTATAATTTGATTTTAACACTTTTTAAAGTTAAAAATAGTGTGTTTGAGTGGAAAGAAAGTCATGTGATATTGTACAAATGAATAATTGTTAAACTTATGATTATCATCTCTGTAAATTTAATATTATAAATGTATATAACATTGGATAATCGTTTGTTGATATTAATTATTTATTATCAATTGAAAATAAATCTAACAGTTTTTACTTGTTGTAATTTAATATTAATACGCAATTTCGTGTTCATTATTTTCACCTTAGTCCTAATAACAATAATTTTATTTATTTTTATCCAAGGGGAACTATAAAACTTATAATCTCACAAAATGTAATTAAATGTAATTGTAATTTTTTTTGTTTAATTTAAATACAGAAAAATTTACAATCTGTAAACAAATATAATGCATTGAGTAATTGTGCTGACGATTTTTTAACTAGACTGGTCAGCACAAGGAAAGGAAGGTTAGAAGATTTAGGTTATGTCGGTATTTAACCGGTGGTTATAATCGCTAAATCTGGATTGGTTTCGAAACGTCCGAATTGGTTCCCGATTTCTTACAAAGAGTATATCCGAATTGGTTCCCATTTTTTTACGGAGTAATTTCAATTTTCCTTTCCATTTCATACAGAATTAGGATTGTTTACTTTTATTAGGTATGGTTAAAAATTGTTTTTTCTAGTATTATGATAATTTCATTTTTTTGAAATTTGTTTATGCTTATTTTGATGTAGGTGTGCTTGTTTATAACACGAAAAGAAGTTAAGTTATATTTTTTTAATGTTTTGATTATGTATGTTTATTGAATTATATAATTTTTAAGTATGACTTACATTTTATTTTTACACATATCCAACGTTCAATGTCATATGCTGACTGTTTTTGATATCCAAATTTAAAACCGTCTAACACCACAAGTTTCTTATTTTTTTCACTGTACATGAATTCCATATTAAAAAAGTTTATAACACGTAACGTACAGGAAACGACTAACAAGTAACAAATATATATTTAACCATACCACTCAAATCGTCATTATCTACGTATAATGTGTTTCTTATTTTATTTATATAAATATATTTATGATTGGAGAAATTATTAGATAAACTGAATTATCGGAAGAATCCATAGGCATATGTATCATCGAAGGTATTTTACAAAAATAGAATTCATAAAATATCGGGAATCAATTCGGATGTATGCTACATAAAATCTCGGGAACCAATTCGGATGTATACTACATAAAATCTCGGGAACCAATTTGGATGCCGATATTTAGGTATGAGAACCAATTCGAATGCAACCAGTTGGACATGTTACAATTCGTACGGATGCATGTCACCCGATTGGGTCGTGGGGCACGAGTTTAGGTAAATTGAGAAGCGTTCGAGCGAAAGTCAGGGCGCCCTGAAAAAGCATTGAATTAAAAAGGACGCCGGGAGTCGAAAAAGTTTGGGAAGCATTGGTTTAGACAATATTTTTAGATGTCCGGTAAAGTAACAAAGTTCCAAAATAATACAACTATGTACACTATGATAGGCAAAAGATTAAACAGGGTTTTAAGTTGTAATCTTTCACTAAAAAAAAATTGTGTACATAGATAAAGAATTTAAAAATTAACCACTGTCCTCACACCTCTAAAATTAAAATAAATGTTTTAATGGCTATACAATATACACTCTTGTGTTATGTTAGTTACCTATGGTTAGCTCATGTATGTACATTCATGATTAATTATTAACTTCCTTATTCATGTCGTATTTAATGTGTTTGCAGCAGCAACAATGTGAACTTACACTCCTACAATGAGCCATACATATTCACACATTACTAAAGAATAAAGACTTGAATTATATTTCTAAAAAGAAAATATTATTATTCCAATCCATGAAAAAATGATATATAAAAAAAAAGTATAAATAATTTAATAAAAATGATGTATACTAATTGAATGCAATGAAACGACTAATTTAAATACATTTATGGAATAAATGGAATTAATTACTTACTAAAATATTTTTCAATATATAAAAGTAAATTAAGTTCTTTGACAATACTTTTAATAGATTTATTTATTTTTTAATTGGTTACTTTTTGCTAACATAATATTGCAATACTGATTACAATCAATATAATCATTATCAATACTGATATATGTGTATTACAACTCAGTTGCAGTCATACAAAAATTAAGCAAGAAAAAAAATAAAAATTATTCATATTTTTAATACTAAAATTGTTCTCTTGATCAATTTTTGCATGACAACAATAAATAACTATAATATTTAATAGAAAAAAAGTTATTGGAAGTCAATAAAATCAAAATCTTGAGACATGGTGTATATTATTTATTTTATATAAATAAAATATTCTAGTCTATAATATTTATTTTGTACATCAAAATCATTTATTCCATATTCACAAAATAATATTATAGAATATACATATATATTTATGTCTTTGTTTACAAACAATAAATAACATGATGTGACTGTTCATGCAGGTTAGATTTGGTTGACAACTACTTATAATTTGATTTAAATTTCGTATAAATAAATATCCACAACACACCAGTGACCACTTAAGTTTGTTATGTTCCTTGTCGATTTATAATTTTTGAACATATTTGGTTATTAAGTTAAAATTACAGGTGCTTTAAATAGATTTATTTTAAATAAATGAATTATAAGACTAATGTAATAATTAATTGTTTTTATAACTAATTTATTAAGACATAATATCTAAACATCCAATAACTGATTTGACTATATGTTCAAACCTAATTTTGATCTGGAAGTAAATAACTCCTAGATGATCCTTCTAGTAATGGCATTCTATTAGCATCAACATGTAATAGATATATTTTCTTCATCATCAATCATCATAATTAAGTCGTTCACAGCAATGTCATATTTCTAATTATTTCAGCAAACAGTTAATTGCAACAAAGAGGCAATTAATTGACCAACAGTTAATTAAAATGATTGTTAAAGAATATTAATCCTTTAGTATTGTTGAGGATGTTGCATTTAAAAAGTTGATAAATATGTTGAATCCTGGTTATTCACTTCCATATAGGAAAACCCTTTCAACATCATTATTGCCTGTTCTTTATAATCAAATATACAAAACAGTTCAATCAGATATAGAAGTTAATGCTTAGTATTGTGCCTTAATTATAGAGGCATAGACATCATTTAAAAATTAGAGTTATATCACAATTACTGTAAACTTCATAAATCAGAACTGTGAATTAAAATCATATCTACTTTCATGTGTGAAATTCCCAATGACACACACATGTGAAAATATTAAAGACTATCTTCAAAATATTGTAAGACAATTATATAAATAAAATTGATAGCTTTGTCAATTTTGAATTGATTTTGAAATTTGAATTTTGAATTGAATCCTTTCAACTTGCAGCCCGGAGCTATAACCCCTCCCCCCAAAAAAAAAACCTCTTACCGTTATCCAGCCCAGCTTGGCGTATTTTATGTAGCTACGGACCTTGGTTTTAAAGCATACGAAATTCAACTCGTGCAAGTATTGAAGCCCGCTGTTCTTGCGAATCATCACCATTTTAGCGTATGGGCCCTTGAAAAGTTTGAAGAAAATCTATGTTTTCAACCAAAATTTTGTTCAGCAATGAGGCCTATTTTTTGTTTAAGGCTACGTTATGTCCAAAGTCTACATGGCCAACATCTTATAACAATCTTATTGAATTGGAATTCAATATCACATACGTCTATGGTCGAAATACCTCGAAGTGTTTTTGTAAACGGGGATTTAAGAACAGATCATATTGGTGGCAGTTACGGCCAATATTTAAAAGATATTATATTTAAAAAATAAATGTAAATAATAGTTTATTTTATAATAATAAAGATAACCTAATAAAATTATCCTTTTCTCATAGTATTTAAGTAGGTATAAAAAAATTACCTGACGTACAAATTTAATAGTTATTTCAAAGTATCCCATGGGACTTGCAAATAAAATATATAAATATATATATTATATTATGAGTAATAAAGCATGCTATTTATCAAGATTTAAATTTTTCATACTTTCAAAACTTACCTTGAAATGTTATCCTACGTTCACCTCTGTTACAAATATAGATCTAGAAACAAGTTTATTCCTAAGATACATATTTGAAAATCGTTAAATATATAAGTACAAGAAGGGTAAATTATTTGGTATTCAATTCCACCAATAATAATTTGAATTCCAAACAATTGGTACTTTTTTTTATCTTATCACTCTTATATATCATATATTCTTATCACTCCGGCAGATCTTCTGGTGTGTAAAATGTCTCACCATAAATTACAATAAATCATTAAAACGATATTCAGAAGTCAGAAAAGCTTAATAAATGCCATTAACTGTTAAAATGTATTACAAAACACTAAATAGTAGATTTAATACTTTTATATTATTATTATTCCAAAATATTTTGTTTTTATTATAGGTGTTCATTTTACTCTGTAGGACAATAAATAATTATGTTTTTAAGAAAAAATCTCTGCAACATTCTCAAATCATTAAGTTTCAAGACAAGTCATAATTTTCGAACATTAAATCAAGTAAACAATCATTCAACATTTCATAAATGGACTTTAGATTACTTCAGAAATCAACCACATTACAATAAGTTTGTATTGAAACAATCTATGATTAATACTAATAATTTCGTTTACAATCATGTACAACTAAAATCAATTTCTACTGACGAATTACTTATAAGATTTTCATCCTCAAATATTAAAAGTCTTCTCTATGAAATTGATAACGAATTAGTAAGTAGAGTTCATGGTATGTCAATAAATCAAATACTGGCATTAATGGATGCCTGTTTATCTGATAAAAATTCACTGTCAAAAGATGCAAGTTCATTTAGGAAATGTTTTGAAATATTTGATGAATCGTGGTTTCGAAGACCAGATTTGACTGTTCCTCAAACTATACAGTTAATTTACTATGTTAGTATTTATAAAAATAAATCACAACGTGTTGTAGAATTAGGATTACAAAAATTATTGAATGAAATTAATTATTTAAAACAATTAACTGATGACGAACTTAGTTTCTTAGGTGTGGCAACATACAAAAGTAGTTCTAAAATTTATGACAAGATATTAAGAATATTTGCCTTTAGAATTGAAAAAAATTTAGATAATCTTATGCAAAACCCAATGCAATTGATATCTTTTATTAAACCACTAAAAAAATCCAAATATCATGATCCAATTCTGTTATCTAAATTGATCACTGCCTTTAATAATAATACAAATAATAAAGTCTTGGCTGATGTGATTAGCAGCATTCATATTCTCTCGTACTTTGCTGATGCAAATTGTAATAAAGTTGATTTTTTACAATCATTAATCGATTCTATTGGAGAAAGGATGGTAAGTTATTCCTATTTAAATAATATTATTAATTTTAATTTTATAAAACATATTTTGTTTTCAGATCAAAGATAGTTTAAAAAATTATAGATTGAAAGATATATCCAGTTATGTATTTTCTGCTAGTTACTTAGGTCTAACTCCAAAAGATCCTAATGTATGTAAAATAGTTGTTGACTTTTTAAATAAAATGTTTAATACTAAAGAAAAATGTAAAAAATATTCAAAAGTATTAATCGGCATGTGTTTATCTATGTGGATGTTGGACAGTAAACCAATTAAGTTAATGCATTTTATATTTTCTGATATGTCTACTGCAAATTTAAGAAGTAATTTATTTTTTTTAGTATATATTTTATTATATAACTAAATAAATATAATTTTTATAATACAGTGCCTAATGCTCATAAACAGGATAACAGACTTAACCTTTTATTAATATGTGCATCAATTGAACAACCAGATTTGATAACAAAATGTAAATTAGATCCAGAAAAATATTCCATGCCTCATGTTAATTCACATTTAGGCGAACGTCCATTTTTGGTAGAAGTATATGAAACCTTGAAAAAATTATCTAATAAATTGAATATTTCAGAAATTGAATATAATTTCAGTATACCTTTTTTGAAAATATTGGGTATAAAAGTTATAAAAAAAAATAGGTAATTTTTAAAATTCAATATTTATATTTTTCTAATAAATCAAATGTTTATACTTATACATTTTTTTTATTTAGGTTGATGTACAGTTATTATTTTTATACTTATCTCAATTGTACACTAATCTTATTTTTCACTTTTAACCCATTTTTTATTTTGAGATTGTTATATTATTCAAAAAAACCTACATTGAAAAATTGTTGACAATATACATTAAAAATGCATTATTTATTTTCAGTAAAATTATATATGTAGAAGTTCTTGACAATAGTACATGTCTGTATGACACAGCTATTCCTAATGGCATGATGAAATTAAAATTTCGTCTTGAATCAAAGTTGGATATCAGAGTTATTACTGTAAGAATTCTACTTTACATTTAAATAATAAGTATAATTATAAAATATATCTTTAATAAGTTATTTTGTCTAGGTAAACCATAAAGATGGATTGAATAGTGAAATGTTATTGAAAAGTCATTTGGAATCATTATTGTCTTGAAATAAAATGATTTCATTCACTTAAAACATATATTTGATACATTTTTAATGATGTTTTAGTTATTTTTAGATTTTATGAAAATTTAGACATAAGTACAACTTCATTTTGAAAAATGCAAAATTAAACTAATTTTAGTAAAGAAGATTAACTAATTATATTTAAAATAATAAAAAACAATGTAGGTATTTTAATTTTATTTAGAAAATGTAAATTGATTAAATTATGATACGCTGCATATTACAATTTTAAAATCTACTGTTACAAAAATAATTATATATAGTATATAATAGTAATGCGATGCAAACTTTTGCAATTTAGGTCCTGTAGTAATACCTAACATTATGTTATTTTAATGAAGTTGTTCGATGACATGGTGATAATATGGCTATATTTGATTGATGCCTTGTGGGTAGACCAACATTAGAACCAACATTAGTTGAAGGTACTGGTTGCAACCGATTTACACGTGAGTTTGATGCAGATGTGGAAGATGGAAGTTGAAGACGATTTTCACGAGAGCTAATTACTGTAGATGATTGAGGAAAAGGTAATAATTGAACTCTATTAGGATGGTGTGTATTTGAGCTGGCTATTGGTTGTCTTAAATTCGCTCTGGATACAGGTGTTGGTGGACAAGGCAATAAACGAACCATATTTGGATGTGTCATAGGTATGGTAGTTTCAAGTTGGCTTATATAAGTATCATTTACAATTGATTGGCTAATATTCAAATCATTAATTAGTTCATCAATTGTAAGATCAACAGTTGAACTGTTATTATTACCTGAAAATAAAACTTATTTAAAGATACATAAATATAATATAAAATATGTGTAATTTATACATTTTCGTGAATTCTGTATTGATTCTCGCCGTTCTTTAAAAAATCCACCAATCAACTGACATAAATTTGTAATAAAATTGTCAACTGCTATAGAAGTAGAAGTGTATTGAATTGAAGCACGACAAACAGGACATGCTTTATTAATATTCAGCCATTTCTTAATGCACGTTTCACAAAATGTATGATTGCAGTTTACAGTAGTCGCCTAAAATAATTTGAATGTATCAATAAAATCACTTTTATAAATTTTTTTTAGAATATTTATTATGTTATTAAATTAGTTAATAACTATTACTGTTAAATAATTTCAAAATAGTATAAATATTTTGATATGAAATAAAAAAATAATATACCCCTGAGATATTCTATGGACCATTTTTTTTTTTTTAATTAGCGAAATAATACAAACTATACTTAAACCAACTTAAATTATTTTATATAAAGAAGTAAAAAACAATATTACTCTAAATAGCCATTCGTTACATATTGGACATTGAAGATCACTATTCACTATCTTGATGACATCATTTTTTGGTAATAATTCTTGGCTTTCATTTTGTTTTGGAGTAGGCTAAAAAATAAAATATAACTTTGATGATACAATAGATTTTATCATTAAATTATTAGTTTTATTCATACTTCATTTTGTATAAGGATGTTATTTTCATTAGTTAATGAATTAGGATTATATTGTGTAAGTAATGAGAGAAATTTAGTGAAACTCTCCACTAAATTTGTTAATTGTTCATTATCAATACTGTTAAACACAGAAAGTAGTGTTTGACGTCCATTAGCTATCAAATCAGCACACCAAATAAAATTTGAATTTTCATATTCTTCAAGTTTATTTAAAAAATTTGAAAATATTATTTGTTTTGACATACTTCCTAAAAATATAAAAGTTGTAAATATTTTTACTATTCAAAAAGTTTAATTATTTTAATTTTAAAATATAAACTAAATATGTACCAAATAATTAATTTACTTGAATTATTATGCGGCATATAGTTGTATTTAATGTCTTATGATTTTAGATAAAAATTGCTTACCTAAATTTTTACCTAACATTCAATTCAAACTGTGAAAATAATAGTTTTATTAAATTATAAAACATTAAAAATAACTTCTAAGTACTGAATATTTCAATAAGCAAAAGTTGATAATGATGGTATTGTACTAGAAATTTAAATACATCAAAGTTTGAGAGATAAAATATTTTAGTAAACATATCACTCACCTTTTTAAATAAGTATTATATAAAACTGATGTAAATACATCAGTTACAATATAAATATCAAAATTAAGAGGTTTCATTATTTGTATAATAGAATAACCAAAGGTATATATTTATTGAATTTAGTCATTACAAAAAATGGATGATATATTTATTGATTAAAAATACTAATTTTTAATTCTCATTAACATTAAATAGTTCATCAATAGTTGCATTTACTATAGAGTAATTTATTTCTTACATAAAACCCATATTTTATTTTGTTAGTTTTCCCCTTCTATATTTTAAGTTAATTCAATTATATATCATATATAATTTCAATTTGACTAAACAATTAAAAATAATTAAATTCAAATAGTTATATTTTGAACTTGTACCTATATCTAATTATATTTAATAAATTATTATTACTTACTACCAGGGTTTAGGTTATTATCTCGGGGCGCAAATTAAACGGTAATATAATTCAAATGATATCATTAAATCAATAGAGACCGACAAAGTAATAATATTTGTTCGGTAGAATCACCACATAAGCACTGTGAACAGTATGTCAATGTCATAAGATGTAAGTTTCAGTAACTGAAATGCGCAAGATAATATTAGGCCGTGAAAAGTTAACAGAAGGGAACAAAATGAGTTTACTCATGGAACAGTTGAAATGGATTTGATCTATTAATCTTTTGCTCGCAGACGCCAAATCGTAACAACATGAATGACTACTAGGTACCACGCGAACCTAGGTTTGGACATCGGAAATATATAACTTTCAAATAAAACAATCAAATTTGTAACGATCTCCTATAATCAGATACTGCTTGACCAATGGGGAGTGCGATTTTTTTTTATCACAGTCTATGGGAGGATCTGAAAAATGGTTGTACATGGTACAGAACATAGAAATCCCAGTATGCCGAATTACCGACATATGATACCCAACGCCAAAAACAGATATGTGGGCGTGGCTTAAACTATAATATATTGCTCGTAACAAACCGTTTGATTTACTAAAATTGTTTTGAAGGAATTACGCTAATATCACTGTTTTTTTTTTTTTAGCTCGAACACTTAAGTATTGACTATTGAATCAAATACCTTGTAAGGATTCGTCGTGTGACATCGCATAACGTAATTACTCTTAAATCGAACAAAAAAATACAACGATAGAAAACGATTAAAAAATAAACTTGACACAAGGAAAAGAAACCACTAGTGTCTCATATGTGTTAATATAGACGATGTATGATTTATTGCTTTATACAATTAATTCGGCTTTTTAACTCTTAGTTTTTTCATATGATGCGAATTTTGAGTTCTTGATATCGATTAGTAAACGGTTTTTTATATTATTTGTCATTAAAAATCAAATTTTATTATATAGAATGCTAATGAATTCTAATGTCTTAGAAGACATTATGTTCTGAAATCGTGCCGATACAGAGTTGAAACAATATTAAATATTTTAACTAATCAATAGATACATATATTTTTAAAATAAATTGGAGCAGTGAAGATACAGCTATATCTAGCTATTTTGAAGTAATTAGATCGTCACTCTTTGTGTATGACCACAAATTATAAAATTTGGTATTAAATTAGGTATTTTCATATAATAAATGGAATAAAAGTATAGTCGGTATAAAATTCTGTGTCCATGTATTGTGTACAGCGAATGGGAGTAATACAATTATTACGTTATCAATTAATGTAAATATCATAACCTAAAAAAATAACAAATTTTAAATTTGTTTGATTTGAAGTTAAATGTATAATGTAAGTTATTATTTATTTTAAATTTTGCGCTCAATTTGTCTGCTCAACAAACATTAAATATTCTGTTTATTCTTATTTTGTGATATAAATTAACAATTTTTACTTATTTCCAAAACCTGAGTATCAAATCATGGATGATTTTGGTGACGATTTATTTGATGAATTTGAAAAACCATCTGCCAGTTCTTTTTCTGTCGGAGAGCAAAATTCTAATGATCAACAGAATGCTAAAGAAAAGTATGAGTAACCAAACGATTTTAATATTTTTTATTTTATTTAAAGTTATCTATTATTTTTAGATTATAAAATTAGTTCCTATTTAACCAATAGTTTTGAAAAGCTCTTTATTTGTTATTCGTTGTAAAAGTTGAATTATATTTTACAACCTTTATCATTTATTCACATATTTTATTAGTTTGTTTTCAACGTTGATGATTAAAGAACAAATTCTCTTGAAATTGCAATTTTTTTTTGTATTTATAGTCTTATAAAAATAATTAATAAATCCTTGTCGAGTAAAATAAAATAATTTTACTTAAGCTTTATTTTATTCAAAATAATCTTGCATTAAAATATATCATGAATTATTTTATTTTTGAAAAAATATTTTCAATTTAATATTAAACTAATTTTACGTATTATTTATATTATATGGCATAAATTTATAATGCTTAGATTTATACTTCGGTATTTATTTATGTTTTATACTTATAACTAAGTATAAATTATTATAGTTAAAAAGTGTTTACCAATTTACTATCAATTCATGTATAATTAATTTTAAATTGACTAATTATGTATATTTATATATGTACAATTCAATACTTATTTGATTTATATCTTTCGTACTGATGAGACTACATATACACTGTTATACACATATATACTATAACTTGAGTTTTCTTTGTTTAGTACAGTGGTGGCCAAACTACGGCCCGCGGGCCAACTCCGGCCCGCCATCATTTAATATCTGGCCCACGAAAGTCTTCTATATTACAGCACTTATTTGTATAACTGTAATATTTTGCATTTACGTAAAAAAAAATTTAGAATGCATTTTTTTATGGCCCGTGATAAAAAAAAGTTGTTTTTTATGGCCCGCAATAAAAAAAAAGTTGTTTTTTATGGCCCGAGGAAAAAAAAGTTTGGCCACCACTGGTTTAGTAGGTACTTCAAATTGATTCATCTTGAATATGTAGTATAGTAATTAAAACTACATCTAAATAATAAAGGTGGGCTGATTCTAGAACCGATACTTGGTATTGGCCGATATTGGTAGTATCGGAAATATCGGTATTGTTTTATTTTCAAAACCAATATTTGAACCGATACTGCAAAAACTATTTGTGATTATAATATCGAGTATTGGTTTTATCGGTTTGTGGTATCGGATTAATTTTAGTATCGGTTCATGGTTTTACCAAAAAATTTGAAATTTTTATGTAATATATTAAAAATCAACTTAGTTTTTACTTGTGATTATAACATCTGATATCGGTTTTATATTGGTTGTATTTATCGGTATATCGGGTATCGGTGAAAGGTGGTATCGGCCCATCCCTACTAAATAATATATCATAAGATTTCAATTTGAAATAATATCTTTTTAAACTGCTGAATTTTATTTTATTAATAAACTAGGGCTGATATTAATTTATTATTATTATTGAAAGTTTTATTAATTTATATATTTTTAATTTTCAGTCCCATAAAAAGAACATTAGAATTATCTGATGATGAAGATGATAGTCTAAAAAAATCAAAAAATTTTGATGAACTGCCTACATTGGAGTAAGTTTAAATTAAATATGTTAAGTATAGTTTACAACAGTGGTCAGCAACCTTTTTGAATCCTTGGGCCACATTCACAAATTGAAAAGGATTCACGGGCCAGACAATACACAAAATTGATATGATATTCAATGACATATTCTAGTTTTGGAATTTAATGTAGGTCATATAAAAGAGACGTGTGGGCCGGATACGGCCCGCGTGCCGCCGGTTGCCGATCACTGGTTTTCAATACTGATATTTATATTTGAGAAAATATGGTTTGATACATATATATATATATGAATTTATTTGTTTTAGTATTGAAGTATCAGCTCCTAGAATAAAAATTTTTGCCGTTGAATCACTTGATGGTGAATCATGTACACATGAAATTGCATTGCCTTCAAATTTTGATTATATACCATTAAATCGTGAAAATAATAAAAAACCGGCAAAAGTGTATGAGTTTGAATTAGATCCTTTTCAAAAAGAAGCTATTGTTTGTATTGAAAATAATCAATCTGTTCTCGTATCAGCTCATACATCAGCTGGTAAAACAGTTGTAGCTGAGTAAGCTCCTGCTTATTTTTTATTGAAATATGTAATTTCTGAATTACTTTATATTTTTAATTATAGATATAGTATAGCATTGTCTTTAAGAGAATCCAAACGTGTGATTTATACTACACCTATTAAAGCATTAAGTAATCAAAAATATCGGGAATTTCATGAAGAATTTGGTGATGTTGGTCTTATAACTGGAGATGTTACTATTAATCCATCAGCAAGTTGTCTTATTATGACAACCGAAGTAAATATATTTAATCAAATTTACTGAAGTTTATTTCTGTGGGAAATTTTTGTTCAGTTATAATTTATATAACTATATATATATGTTCTTTTAATTACAAAAACTGATTTACAATATATAATAATTTAAGGCAATATATATATATATAACATTTTATTTTTTTTATTATTCATAACAAAGAATTTGTATAAGAATAGTTTGTCTAAAATTGCATTTCCTTTAAAACTAGATTCTTCGTTCTATGTTGTATCGTGGTTCAGAGGTGTTGAAAGAAGTAGGATGGGTGATATTTGATGAAATTCATTACATGCGTGACAAAGAACGTGGTTATGTTTGGGAAGAAACTTTGATTTTATTACCAGATAATGTACGATTGGTATTTTTGTCTGCTACTATACCGAATGCTAGACAATTTGCTGAATGGGTAGCTCATTTGCATAGTCAACCATGTCACGTTGTATATACAGAATATAGGCCAACACCATTACAACATTACCTATATCCTGCTGGTGGTGATGGCTTACATCTTATTGTTGATGAAAATGTGAGAAGTTTGATGATATAAATTATTGCAAGTTAAACTCATATTTTATAATTATTTTAATTGCTCTAGAACAAATTTCGAGAAGAAAACTTTGCAGCAGCTATGAATGTTTTATCTGCGGTTACTCAACCAACTAAACATTATGGACAGCCTAGTAGACCTACAGCTAACAATCCAGATAATGAATCACATTGCTTCAAATTGGTGAAAATGATTATGGAAAGAAATTTTGCACCAGTAATTGTATTTTCATTTAGTAAAAAAGATTGTGAAAACTATGCTATGCAAATGTCAAAATTAGATTTTACTTCAGGTAAATATGTTTTATCTTATATATATATATATAAATATTTTATTGTCTCAAATTTATGATGTTAAGAGGACGTGATACTGGTACATATTTATCTGTATGCATTTGTTAAATGAAAAATATAGTAAAATTATAATGTGCAAAATCAAAATTGTGATACATATTTTAATTTATAATAGATAATTAAATTTAAAGAAAAGAATGTTTCCAAGATTATAATTTTTCTTGTATTGGTTTTATTTCCCCTGTTTTTTTTATTTTTTTATATAATTTACACCACATATCTATCTGAAACAGTTTTAATTGTCTCTTGTTAAATGTATGAGGTACCATAAAGCATTCTTGTGCTCTCTTTTAGGAATAAATGTGAAGAAGTTAGTGAATGTGAAAATATTATATATAATATATATGGTCTATTATAGATGTTGAAAAAGGGTTGATTGATAAATTATTTGAAAATGCTACTAAAGTATTGACAGAGGAAGATCGTAAGTTACCAGCAGTAATAAATATTATACCTTTAATACGTCGAGGCATTGGTATTCATCATGGAGGTAAATAATATTATTAATGTTGACAGTTAATTATTACTAAAAACTAATATCATATTACATTAATTTTAGGTCTTTTACCAATTTTAAAAGAAACAATTGAAATTTTATTCGGTGAAGGTTTGTTAAAAGTTCTTTATGCTACTGAAACATTTGCTATGGGCTTAAATATGCCTGCAAGAACAGTTTTGTTTACTGCCTGTCGAAAATTTGATGGTAAAGAAAGACGATTTGTGAGTATTTTGTGAGAATTTATTAATCAACTGTTTTAATTTAAATCTCAACTAGTTACATTTTAATGGTAGATAACATCAGGAGAGTATATTCAAATGTCTGGCCGAGCTGGTAGACGAGGATTAGATGAAAAAGGTATTGTTATGTTGATAATCGATGAAAAAGTTAGTCCTGATACTGTCAGGAATATTATACAAGGAAAACCGGATTCACTTAATTCAGCTTTTCATTTGACATATAACATGGTTTTAAATTTAATGCGCGTTGAAGAAATTGATCCAGAATATATGTTAGAAAGAAGTTTTTTCCAATTTCAAAATCAAGCAGCTATACCAGAAATAGTAGAAAGTAAGCAATTAATAACATTATATTATAAATTCATTAGTAAATAGATAAGTATAATTACATTCTAAATGAACCAAAAGTATATTAGTTTTATTATAATGTTATTTTATTCCTTTAATCAAAATTTCGAATTATAATTTTTTTTTTTTAATTAATCTGTACAAACAAGTTTTGATTAATTATAAATATATAACTTACTTTTTATTCATTTTTTTATGTTTATAATTGAATACACATGGTATTTTAAAAATATCACTTTTCTAATTCCTTGGAAATTCTAGTTGTTATCCATAGTTTAATGAAAAAATTTAAAAAAAAATCCTTGGTACTTATTTAAATTAAATGCAGTATAACTTCTAAATAGTGTATTTTTACTAGACCATCAAAATTTTCAACTATTGAGAGGTTATAGGTAATAGGTCAGCTATTGAGAAAAATTTACAAAAAATTAAAGCTTTATGGTTAGCCTTCCATATTATTCTAAGATTGTTAACAATAATGTTCTTAACACACCAGGGTTTTAGTGTTTTTCCAATCACCAAAGGTGTTGCAAAATTACCTTCCATATTAACATACAACACAACTGTAATTTGTTCTTTACTTATTTTTTTGCTGCTGCAATTCTCGTAAAAAAAATATACAAGTGCTAATAGTCCTTAAGCCTAGACATGACTAATGCATGTTTACTTTGAAGTAGTATATAACCTATTCTTATTTTTCAGAGGTGAAAGAATTATCAACTGAAAAAAACAAAATAATAATTGAAAATGAATTTGATGTCAGATCATATTTTCTAATCCGTCAACAGTTAGAAGACTTAGCAAAGCAATATCATTCTTTTATAGTAAATCCTAAAAATTTAGTACCTTTTTGTAATCCTGGAAGACTGGTTAAGGTCAGTTAATAAATAATAATATTTAGTACTTATAATTATTATGTATTTATTTAAATTGTATACTAAATTACAATTGTAATTTTTTCTAATATACATATTTAAGTTTAAATAAAATTATTGGAAGGGAACTTACTATATACAATTAATTATTATTTACTTTAAAATTAATTATTTTAGACTTCATTATTAATTACTTAATATTTAATGCTGTTTTCAAATGTAGTTTCTGTATTTCTAACTAACTAAATAAACAATAACAAATTTTTCAGAAACTCGAAGATTTTAATTTATATTATATTAAAATAAAAACTAATAATAATTATTACAATTTATTTTACTTTTGTCAAAGTAGTTATTTTGTTATTTTTATTAATTTTATTTTATGATTAATAATGTATAATTTAATTTAATTATATTTTTTATATTTAATTTATTATTATGTATATTTTGATTTAACTTTATTAATTTATTATTTTATTAGATTAAGAAAAATGATGTGGATTTTGGTTGGGGTGTTATTGTGAATTTTAAGTCTATAATGAAGAGTAAACACGAAGGTGGTGGTGTTGGAGAAGCAATATTGAATGTATTATTAAATTTAGAAAAGTCTGTTGAAAATACAGATGAAGAGCCAACACCTTGTCCTCCTGGAAAATTGGGAGAGCCAGAAATTATTAATGTCAAACATAATATGGTTGAAGATTTAAGTTCACTACGATTAAACAAAATGCCAAATAATTTAAAATCTCGAGATTCTAGAATATTATTATATAATAATGTAAAAGTAAGTCTTTAAAATATTGAATATAATAACTGTTTTCAAGTTTCCTTAAATATGTGATAATATTTGGATATTAAAAAAAAAAAAAAAAATTAATTTAAAAAAATTTATGCATTACTACTCAACTATCATTAATTTAGTTTTTTTTTTTTATATGCCAATACATAATATTATTTATTACATATGCCATATGCTATACAAAAAAAAAAAAAAAAATTAAAATTACAACAGTTATTACCAAGTATACAAAATTACAACATAACACTAAATAGCTACTACAGTATAATGTTAAATTACAACTTATATTTTAAATGAAATATCAATTTGTATCAAAATAAAGATGAGACATTCATTGAAATAAAATATTTGATAGTGACATGAAATATGTAATCATTTTTTAAGCTTTATTATGGCCAAAATTATATTTATTATTGTTAAATATAGTCCTAAAATTTAAAAAAAAAAAAGTTAGATATATTTGTAGTGTACTGCTTTAGGTTTTTTTAAAAAATGTATTAAAGGGATTCTACACCAATGTAGGGGATAGGATTGTTATTTAATTGTGAAATCAATAAAAGCCTAATTCATATAAATATATTAAACTTTTTTAGGAAGTTTTACAAAGATGCTCCACAGATATTCCATTATTAGATCCAGTTAATGATATGCATATAAAAGATCCAGATTTTGAAAAAGTAACAGAACAAATTGAAAAATTTGAAAGCAGATTATTTGCTCATCCATTACATGAAAAAGATGATATTGATGATCTATATGCCCAATATTTAGAGAAAGACAAAGTATAATATTTACTATCATAAATTTTTTAAAAAAATTATTTCATATGATACATGTTTGTACTAGGTAGATCAAGAGCTTTTAAAATTTAAAAATGAATTAAAAAAAGCAAAATCACTTATGCAAATGGATGATCTGAAGTGTCGTAAACGCATACTTAGACGAATGGGTTATTGTACTGCTGGAGAAGTTATAGAAACTAAAGGACGAATTGCATGCGAACTAAGCAGGTAATATTTATAATAATAATAATAAATTTCAAGTTTTTAATAATATTATTTGTATTTTATTAGTGCTGATGAATTATTGATGACTGAATTAATGTTTAATGGAGTATTTAATGACTTATCAGTTCCCCAGACAGTGGCATTGCTCAGTTGTTTTGTGTGTGATGAAAAAAGTAATGAAATGCCAGCCAAAACAGCGGAATTAGCCGGACCTTTAAGAAAAATGCAGGTAAATTATTATTTTATTAATACTGTATGACCTTTTTTTCATGAAAAAATGTATTAGTAATTATAACTTATTTTTATTTTTTGAAGGAACTTGCCAGAAAAATAGCTAAAGTTTGTAAAGACGCTAAATTAGATATTGACGAAGATGCCTATGTTGAAGGTTTTAAACCATTTTTAATGGACGTTTGTTATGAGTGGTGTCGAGGTGCCACATTTTATCAAATATGTCAAATGACCGATATATTTGAAGGTGAATATTGTTGTTATATTAATTTTGTGAATAATTAATTATTTTGTTGAATAACATTTTTAATAATCTTGGTATTTTTCAGGAAGTATTATTAGAGCAATGAGACGTTTAGAAGAAATATTAAGACAATTGATTCAAGCATCAAAGAGTATTGGTAATACTGATCTCGAAAATAAATTTAGTGAATCAGTTAAAATGGTTAAAAGAGATATTGTATTTGCAGCCAGTCTTTATTTATAATATTTTATTTTACAAATCTCAAATCAAACTTATATTTTATTTTTTAACTTTTATTTATAGTTCTGATATAAACATTAAATTGCCTTTGTTTTTTTCATTGAAATTCTAAATTTGATTATCCTATTTTCCTTTTTGAAAAATTCATGATTTTTGTAAAAATATATTACATTTGAAAACTTAAAGCTACATGTTTTCAACTAGTTATTTATATTATAGTATTAAATGTATGGATCTAAAAGATGTAAAGTAATTTTATTAAAATTTATTTCATAAATCTCAGATTGCTGTAATAATGTAAAAATGATTTTATAAGGAACATTACAATATGCTGTATATAGATAGATATATAAGTTCAATGTTTTATTCATCATGATTTTTGGTTCATGTATTGCTGTATTAAACCTTATTTTTTAAGCTTATGTACATTGAAGTAGTTAGTGCAGTTACTAGGATGCTTAGCATTCATAAGCTCACTTTTAGAATCCTCAATTTGGCTTAAGACCAATATTATTTTATTCTAAAATATCTCGTACTGTTATATGAGATCATATTTTAGGAAACAACCATGAATCATTTTTAATCTATTGAATAGTGGATTTGGTGTTTTTCACCGAACAATAATAAATAATAATACTATAACAGAGTGATGAAATATGAAATGACTGTAGCAAAAAATGTACTGTTACAAATAAAAGAGAAGTACTCAGGATAAATTGAAAACAATTTGTACAAAAATTGTAAAATACGCAAATTTAAAAATACTATAATTTCAAAACTAATGATTTCCAACATTTTTTTGCACCATCATTTTTAAAACATCATTTACCTGATTCCAAAAAAATAGGGTGTCCCATTAAGTAGAAATGTTCCCACATTTCAAATTTTTTTAATGTGGATCATTTTATAACGAAATCAAATTATATGTTGCTGTGAATACTGAATTGGGCTTTTTGTCAGGTCCATACTTGGTGAAAAATCAAATAAAACACAAACGTAACTTTCAAAACATAGACAAGTGTTAAAAAAAGAACTACACAAAAGTCGATTCTAGGTGGATTTTAACCGGCATTAGATTAAAAAAATAAAACCACATATTATTAAGGATTCACCTGATTTAAATATTACCAACAATTTAACTTATAAATTTTGAGTCTGAATTGAAAAAAAATATGAGTCATTGCCCCTAGAAGTAAGGCTAAATATGCCCCTGGTCAAAACTCAACCTTAGACATCTCCAAATTTGACACCAGGTCAATTCTGAACAGTAGTTCCTTGAATTCAGCGTTTCTATTAATTTTCTGTTGTGTTCCAATTGTAATATCTCGGTACCTCAACATAAAAGTTCTTGCAAATCCATCGCGGCGAGTGTCATTTTTAGAGGAGAAGATAGTCGCTCTTGAAAATTATTTTCAATATAATAAACATTTTCACTCCTCACTGAGAAATTTGTGGGCTTCCTTTCCGTTTTTTCGATTCTTATAGCAACAACCAAACAACAACTGCCCGTTCGGGTTAGGTGTACTGATTAAGAGGGGGAGGTTTCGGATCCGGACACCCCATTGAAATTTCTACTTACTCAACGGTTTAATAGTAAATAGTATAATAATAGTATCTAGTGCATTTTAATTTCCTATTATGTTCAATATACAAAGTTTATAGATAATATAATATACCAATAATGTATAAACCATACTATAGTATATTTACAGTAATTGTTGGTATTGAGTTACAACTGTAGTTATAATTAGATAACAGATAAAATAAAAATTTTGGATTCCCCCTCCATAAAAAATTCCTGGGTACGCTCCTGGTACTGATGTTTCCCTTTCCTTTTTTCCGAGATAAAAGGTAGTCTAAATCTTTGGTCTATCTATCTTTCTACCGAATTTCATCAAAATAGGTTATGTAGTTTCGGAATCCATCGAAGACATAACGTTGAACACGTAATTTGTATGTTTAAGATCAGAGGCGGCTTGTAAGCACTTACTACCGAGGTGGTGCCCCGGTAAAAAACATTTTTTATGTACATTTTGATTAAATAAATTCAAATTTAGTAGTCATACCAGTATATTTATATACTTATATATATTTATGAACATATTTGGAGATACATAATTTACGTTTTAGCGTTTAAGTAGTTTTAATGTGATATGAAGGAAGCCAGAACAATTTTTTCAGGTAGGTGGTGTGGTTTAAATTATACTACCCCGGTAAGATGTAAATGTTCAAACCGTCTCTGTCTAAGAAACATACATCAGAAATATTTAAAAAAAAACCTGTTAACCTGTTTTATGTGAATGAAAAACATTTTCTATCGGATCAAATTATAAATCTAAACCATTCTGGAATCGATTCAATCGCATATACAAAATTTCATAAAAACCAGTCCAGCAATTTAAAAGAAGTTCATTGACGTACCACACGGTCAAAAAAAATATATATTTACTGGTATACACGGCCAAGACCGGTGCTACAAATTGCGGGGCCCCGTGCAAAATAGTTGAAATAAAATAATACACAACAATTAATATTTAATATATACTCTTTATTTTTTAGTTATATATATAAAATAAATGTATACAATAATATAATACATTATATAATTTATTATTGATTATATATTTTATAACGATTTTTTTCTTGACTTTTCGCTAGGATCTGTAGTTTAAAATATTATATTTTTATTAATAATGTAATATTTTCTAAATTATAATATTTATTCAGTACCTAATGATTTATTTTCCACGGGGCCCTGTGTAGGTGCACCGGTTGCACTGCCATTGCGCCGGCCCTGTCACGGCAAAGTTTTTTGCCATATATTTCTAGTATTTTTAGTATATATTTTGTAGTATATAAAAGTGCCCATTTTGTGATAAACTTGACCTTTGATATTAAATATTGAATTGAATTGTTACCATTTGACGCATTATTGTTGACTATTTGTTTTGCACAGAACGATTTAATTTGAAAAAAAGAATTAAATGTGCTAATGGACTTCAGGAACAAGTTTGAATCTAGATACGTACCCATAAGTAAGCCTTTTAATGGTTCAGGTGGTGTTTCAATTCCTGGTAGTTGCACTTGTTCTGACGCGCAACACATCTCGGCTGGCTCATTTTTTAATATAAGCACGTGGCAATAGAGACATTCCTTGTCCATAGCACCAATCGTCACTTTCAAATGAGCGTGATATTCAATATCTGGCTCGTAGTTGAATGCCAGATGAAGGAACGAGTTTGATATAAATCCACTTGTTGTCATTGTCGGTCATTTGATCTGCGTGTGTTCACTACGAACCGGCGTGCTTATTATAGATAGTTATACAATTTTACGTTTGGGAAGGACCACCCTTAACACTTAGAGGTTTAAAAAATAGCTCAAAAGCTATTCTTAGACCTATCAAATATACACAAACAATTTCATGAAACCGAAATGAAGCTGTTTTAGTTAAGAGTTCAGTAACAAACACTGTGACCGGAGAATTTTATATATATATATATAAGACTAGCTAACTCAGTAAACAACGTTTTGCCATATATTTAATATTTCTAGTATTATTGTAAGTATGTTGGGATGGTGTCTATGATGTCTATGATTGTCTATGATTGAAATGGAATCCTGTGGAGATGACGGCCTATAAAAATTACAATTCGCCAGCCATTTATTTTTTTAGTTCAATGTACTTACTAAATAATTTAATAAACTTTTTACTTTAAATGACAATTTAAAAAAAATAAAAAAAAAATATTAATCTTGAAGAACAATCCAGCCACTCATGATTTGTGTATTCTATGTTTATATATGGAAAAATGTAATTGAAGAGAGAATTTTTGAAAATTACTTTAAAAAAAACGATTGATATCAATCGATAAAAATCGGTCGGTAATGTTATGCATCCTGTACTTTCATCTATAGCAACTTTTCCATTACCGATATCTAACAATTGTGGAGTTAAATCACCTGAGAAGAGTAACAGACTGTCGCTAAATGGTTCGTCGTTGTTTTTTATATCTTTTAGTGTCCTGTTCAACGCCTCAAGCGAATGTTTGTGTGCCATAGTGCATTCACCCCGGATGATAATTTTGCATTTTTTCAGCAATGGCCAAGGACGATTGTTTTTTTATGTTGCACACTGCATCTGGATTATTTTGCATATTAAGTGGCAGCTTAAATGTTGAATGAGCTATTCTAACTCCATGCGATAAAGTTGCTATAATTCCAGATTATGCTACGGCTAATGCGATTCCATTATTTGATCGTATTTTGGCAAGAATTAGCGAAATGAGATATGTTTTGCCAGTTTCACCTGGATTGACAGTCTGCTTTGGATTGACTATCTATTTGTATACTCGGCCCAAAGTGTTTGATAAACTGGGGCACGCATCAACTGGTGTTCTTTGCTTGCGAGGCATCCATTTTTTCGCTTGAGCCCATCTAAAATAGCGCGTTACTTTGGAATAGATTAGTGTTCATACAAATCATTACACAATTCGAAAAATTCAGTGAGTGTAGTTTTTGATGGATTTATAGCACGGTCAAATTTTGTTTTGCTAGCGAAAAATATTTGCTGCCCGTTTTCAAGATGGACGGCTAAATGTATAACTGCCGGATCTCGTTCATAATATACCCCGTGCTGTCGGTCTGTGACGCCTTACACTTGTGATACAGTTTTGAATTTGGATATAATTATTGTTAAGTTATAAAATACAAAATTACTTGAAATACACATGTATACTTCATGAATAACATTTAATATTATTTACAAGTTATTTTCCGTATGAGAAAAGCACAGAGAGAATTGAAAAAATAAACATTGATTGGTTTAAATAACTATCTGGGTTCAATCACTAATTTCAAAAGTAGTGGTAGAAAAATGATTAACACTGTGACGATCTCGTTTTTGTCAAAATTTTAATAATGCGTCCAAACTTGTTAGCGGTATCCACATACTGCCGGTGACCGTGCGACTCACGCGCAATGTTTTTCCGTCTCCCACCACGTGAATTGATATTTGTTTTAAAATTAAAGTCTGCCGGCCAACAATCTTTTATG